TGTCGAGCCACGAGCGCAGGCCCAGCGCCGTCGACCCGGGCGCATCGTCGTCGACGCCCGCCGACGATCTCGTCGCCTACCTCGCCACCTACCTGACCGCTTTCTCTGGCCACGCTTTCACAGGGCGGGAATCGTCGGAGCGACGGGGGGCTCTCCACGCCCGCATCAACCCGCTGGCGCTGGCGCAGCGCACGCGAGCCTCGCTCGTGACGCCGCTACAGACGTGGTCGCGCCTGATCAACTCGGCGCTGATCAGCGTCTTCTTCCAGGACCTCGGCCTCGCCGCCTACCTCGAGACGTGCAAGCGCTTCCTGCTGCTGGGCAGCGACCTGTTTGAGCGGCGCATCACGGCGGCCCTCTTTGGAGCCGGCGAAGGCGAGGACGGCGATGGCGACGGCGGAGATCCAGTCCACCTCGGCGCCGGGGCAACGGCAGCGGCAGCGGTCGCGGGAGGCCCGGTGGCGCTGAGCAAGAGGCTGACGATGGACGGCAAATGGCCGCCGACCGACGCGCTGCTCTCGTCGTCGCTCAACTCGGCCGTGCTCGAGACGGTGAGCGGGCTGCGCGCGGCCAACACGGAACGCATCGCGATGGCGTCGCGCCTGGGCGGCTGCACTGCCACCGCCAGCACCTTGTCCGAAGCGGCCGGGCGGGGCGAAGGTTCGCAGCAGCAAGCCGGCGAGGACGCCGCCATCTCGCTGGCGCTCAAGGACCTCGACGACCGGCTCTCGTTCGCCGTCATCGACCCGGAATCCACATCCGCTGCCCGCGGCGGCGGCCCGGAGTCCTCATCCTCGGCCAACAGCAGAAAGGCCTGGACGGACCCGCACAGCATCGCCGCTCTCGATTGGCTCACGCTGTCGTTCCACCCGCCGCCGCTGATCGCGCCGCTGCTGACCCAGCTGGCGCAGATGCGCTACCAGCGGCTGTGGAACCTGCTGCTGCGGTTCAAGCGGGTGCGCGTAGCGATGCGCGCCGCGTTCCAGCAGTGCTTTGGCAAGACCAAGACGACGACGGCAGCAGCGGCGGCGTCTGGCGGCGTCGGTAGGGCTGCGTATGGCGGTGGTGGTGAGGAGATGGACGCGCCGACGCTGGCCTTGGCGAGGAGGCTGCACTGGACGGCGCGGCACTTTCTCGACGTCGTCGAGGGCTACATCCACGAAACCGGCATCGAGGCGCACTGGGATGCGTTCATGCACCGCCTTGCCCGAGTGCGGCACAGCGTCGCCGACGACGTGGCCGTATCATCGGCCTCGACGCATGCACCCGCGGACGGCCCCGTCGAGGACGATGGCGACCATGACGAGTCGAGCGACTCTGACGACGAGCGGGACCACGACAACGAGACCGGCGGCGGCGGCGGCGGGAGGGGGATGCACGAGCTCAAGGACGTCTTTTCCCTCTCGCGCTACCATGAGCGCGTGCTGGACCGGATGCTCGAGACGTGTTTCCTCAAGCAGCGCCAGCGCGCCCTCGCGCGCATGCTCTCGGACATCCTCCAGATCCAGCTCGACTTTTGCCACGTCCTCTCGTCGTCGTCGTCGTCGTCTTCGTCGTCGTCTTCGTCGTCGAGGAGGGCGGAGATCGAGGAGATCGAGATCCGACACTCCAAGAGGGTGCGGACGTTCCTCAAGGCCCTCTTGGTTGTTCGGGACCGGGGCTCCTCGACCCCTACTTCCTCTGCCGCTGCTGGTGTCGAATCGGGCCGGGACGACGAGGGGCCGGTGCTGGGCGAGAGGAGGAGGGATGTCCAAGTCGAGCTCGAGAGGCAGCAGAGGGAGTGGGACGAGGACCTCGACCTCCTCGATCGCGGCGGTGGGCGAGGGCGAGCGGGACGAGCGGAACGAGCTCACGGCGCGACCGCATCGACACCGGCATCGGCAAAGGTGGACAACGTCGAGATCCTCCTCGGTCGGCTGGACGCGGGCGGATTCTACCTGCGCGATCGGGGTGGATACTAGGCCAGGCTAGGCTGGCCAGATCGGCCAACGGCGAGGCGGGTTACACGCCAGCCTCGCCTCGACGCCATCGATCGGGCGTGCGCCTGCCACGCCGAAATAAGAGCTCTCTGTCGTCCCTTTGCCATATACGATCGTCTGCTGGACTGTGCGGTGCCCGGATCAAGTGGTTTGCACGCGTGTGGCCGAGCATGGCGGCGACGGCATCGCCACGACGACGCGATCGGTCCGTCGTTCGAGCCGGGCGTCGGAGGGCCTCGGACGACATGGATGTCGGAGTAGGAGCCGCGGTGCATGTCGGGTCGGAATGGCTAGCGGGGTGGCCGCGGGACGGGAGGGGGAAGTAATGTGGCTTGACGAGGCCGAGACCGCCTCAGTGCCAACGTGGAAGAGGGGCAGGGCCGTCTGGCCGCGCGCGCGGCGCTGGGCCCAGCAGAGACGACGCGCGTCATCGGATCAGCTGATGGAACGGCCTCAGCGTGCGATGGGCGCTTTCGGATTGGTGGCAATGTCGCAGCTGCCGCAGCCACAGGAGCGCGCGGGGAGTAGACACCCCGCTGCCGAGCGGACGATGTAGCCTTGCGGGATCTTGTCGGGTTCGAGTCGGAGGGCCGGTTTTGTCGCCTCGGAAAAAAAGGCGCCACGGTGCGATGGGACGGTTGCGACGCGAGGAACGAGCCTGGACGGGTCGATGAGTCGAGGTGGGCCTGGAATGCGTCGTGGCGAATGGCGGGTGCCCAGGTGGCCTGGCGGCCGGATCCCGGGAGCTCAAAGAGGGGTGCGTACGTGGCGGATCTGAGGGCCGAGGGAAGCTCAGAAACCGTGTACGTGAAGCTGGGACCAGAACGACGGGATCGTGCTTGCTGTGCTAGACTGGCGACGAGGGGCGAGCTGCTGCTGATGTTGAGGACGGCGTCGAGGTCAGGCCGAGACTGGAGAGCTGAATGGGACGGTGGCAGTGCAGCACCGCATGGTGAAACCGCACAGCCGCCGTAGGTACGGCTTGATCGGCCTCAAGCGCCCTTTTTAAAGCCCTGGGTCACCTCGAGCATCTTTTTAGCCTTGTCCGGTGGGTGGTTCTTCTGCTCGTGCGCAATCAGCGGCGGGAGAAAGGGATGGGGGAGCACAGGGCAGAGGAGGAGGAGGAGGAGGAGGAGGAGGAGGAGGAGGAGGAGGAGGAGGAGGAGGAGGAGGAGGAGGAGGAGGAGGAGGAGGAGGAGTGCCGTTGTCTTTGTCGAGACGCCCGTGGCGGGACGTCCGGTCCGATCTGACGTGACCGGAGCGGAGCGACTCGATCGACGAGAACGAGCACCGTCTTGCG